CCTAGAGAGTCAGGGGTCATCACTTTGAATGACAAACTCTGAAATACACCTATATCATAACCAACACACCTCGCAATGATGCTAGGTTTCCCATCCCTACACTTTTATCAGCCTGAGCCTGAGATAGCTGGACATTAACTCGTCCTTTTTAGGGACTGGAACAAACCACTTCCATGAATTACTGCCCTAAATACACTTTCCACCCACATACCTGGATTTCATCGGTGGTGGTGACATTCTTTAGGGTTAATCATGGCTCTCTTTAAGTGGTTCTCCTTTGGAGCACAAAGTTCAAGATGGACTCTTTCCCCTGTACTCTCGCAATAGTATATTACTGATTGAAATCTGTCATTACTGCTTGAAGTAGTGTTTGGCTTTGTTTTTTGACAGTGGTGGGGGGTATCCGCGGTCAGCCTTTCCTCCTCTCCAAGTCAGATTTTTCAACAAGCGTCCCAGGGATGTTTGAGTATCGAGGTCCATAGACCACATGTTCAGGAAATCTATTTCCCAATGGACACCTTTTCTCTGGCAGCCCTTTTGAATAGGGGCTATGTGTTCTCCCACACTGCATTGCCTGCAGCGCACTCACCTTTTCAACCAGTGACAGCATTCCAGAGACCAAACTAAAGATCAACTCCAGGTGTTTCTCCAGTCACCTCTGGGGATGGCTGCATGTCATCAGCATCCAGTATTTCAACTGGCTGCCCAGCTAGAATGACACCTCTCCAGGTCTCTGACTTACCAGCTCTCCACCATGTTCCTCCATGTAGACACTACCCACCTTTTACTAAGCCTCAAACACCCATAAGCCTACAAGAAAAGGAGTAGGCGCCAGGACACCTTCACGTACAGGTGGGTCTAGTCTCCTCACTATACCTGTATATGGAGGTATGCTGGCTAGTGTCAGTTGGCTCGTGACACCCATTTCTATCCCTTTCTCTGCAGGTGCCGGAAGGCCGGGAAGCACATTTCACAGATTCCCTTGGCAGCAGGGTTCTGCCAGTGAAAGGTACTTGTGTGAAATTTGGAAGGTGAAAGGAGGTGGAAGTCATTGTTTTCTGTTCTGTAGCAGCAGACACGCAGGCTGCATGTCAGACTCCATAGTCCCCCACCAGTCAGCAGCCTTGGGGCTGAAATCGCCTCAGAAGTGGCTTCCCAAAGTTTCCTGACTGCTGAATGACAGCAGCGACTTTGAATCTATGGAAAGCAGCTGTGACAAAGAAACCTGAAAGCTAGTGGTGCAATCGCCCCAACCCCCAACTTTCAGCACCATAGCCCCTCAAATAATAAACACCAATTGCTTATATAAATATTAAACTCATTGTTTTTTGCTGGAAATATCTAGAGTGGTTTCTATTCTCTTGCCTGTGGCAGTTGCAAAATATGTCCACAAATTCTCTGACTGCTCTTTCCTCAAATGGTGGAGTCTGAATCCCCTCCACTTGAACGCAAACTGGATTTAGTGACTCACTACTAACCATCATTGTTGTGTAGCGGAAGTGATGCTATGTACTTCTGAGGCTAAGGCATAAAAGGGACAACATGTGTCTCTGTCTCTCT